GTAGGTTTTCTCACAACGAAACAGCCCGGGGACACAGTCTGGTAGGTCACAAGACTCTACTTTTCTGTCTAGATGTATGCGGGAGAAAGAGAATACAAGTGTGCAGAAATAAAAAGCAGTGCAGCCCCTCCCAAAAAAAGTTTCAATACATTACAGATATTGAAAACAGTGGCCCTGTAATAAAACATGTTTCTTCCCCAAGTAAATGGAAGGGAGAGTGTATGCAGGCCATGCCTTGTGTGCTGCCCACATCTGATATGTAGGACAGATTTACACAAGCCCTCTGCAGACATTAAGCCAGCGGTATGCAGGGTTAAAATGAGGAGATGATGCTGAGGCACACACAATTCCCAGCCCCAATGTCCCAGGATGCCTGCCTGATGCGTAGATCTCCACATGTTCAGTACAAAAGTAAGAGTAGGCTTACAGTTGACTGAACATGCTTACAGAAATATCACAATTCAACCACTGCACTGGATCAGAGAACTTACACCTGTCCCTAGATGAATGAGGAAGATTTAAACATCTGTTTGGCATGTGGGAATGCTGGGGCAGAACTTACACAGACATCCACACCATCTTCCCACTTTAGGCCTACATTGTATGTGCAAGTGAACACCTGCAAAGGAGTACAACATGCCTGTTTGCTCTTTCAAAACTTCACTCATTTTATTTCCAGACATCAAGGGAAACCTTTATCTTGATACGCTTTCCCTCTAGCTAGAGGTTTTGGAGATGAGTGTCTCAGCCATTAGACTTCCCAAGTAAATTTGTGCTTCTCTTCTAAGAAAAATTCACAGAACAAAAAATGTTGAATTGCAAAACTCAGAAGTGAGGAAAAACACAAACTATAACAGATGTCTTTTATCATTTGAGGGGCACTACTTCTGAATACAGGCAAATTGCATCACCTACTTTGCTTCTAACTAAGATCAACAATGTGCAGTAAACTTACAGGTTACAGGCAGGGTTTTTTTAAATGTCATTTTTCTCTTCATTCCGAATCATCATCATCATCATCATAGAACTGCAGAGCTGGAATACCCTACACATTTTGAATGCACAGCTATTTACTTAATAACAACTGCTTTATTCTTGTCTACCTGTTTCACTTCCACCCATAGGCACTCAACTGACTCAGTTCACTACAACGAAAAAGTATAATGCAGTTTTAGGGCTCATCAAGATTGGTTGATTATGTGGTTTCTAGATGGACTCTTCATGATACATTTCTTCTGTACACATTCAAGGTCTTTTACTCAGGAAATTCCAGTATGCCTGTTCACACAGGATGCAAACAGCACAGTACTACAGTATTTTCTTGTAATGCTCATTGTCTTCCCCCCCCCTTCTTCTTCCCTTCTTTCACCACCCTATTTTCTGCTCTTTTCACTCCCTCTTGCACCCTGTTTATAATTCCTCCCCGCCCACACCCTACCTGGTGCCAAAGTCTCTCCAAACTAGAGTTCTGAGAACAATCAGTACTTCTTCATGTTATGGATCTGTTTGCAGCAAGTCCTTTTTTAAAAAAAGCTACAGTAAGTCTATAACTGGAGTGATTTATTCCTTGCAGTTCACTGGGGGAGTGCTCAACACTCTGGCAGTGAAGAGCAAGTTAATCAGTTTGCATCAAAACCTAAACCTTGTTACTTTCAGTCCATTCTACTAGTAAGCAAACTTGTTTCCAAAACCATCATTTAAAAAAAGCTGTGAGATCATTTTCAGAGCTTTGCGAAATGGGAGATCTGATGCATAACATTGTACAATAACAGATACAGACTAGATCAGCAAGTTCCACTCTATGGCATTTTGTTCTTTGTTATGTTGTGCTAATCTCATCGTAAATTGTTTGAAAGAATCAAAATTTTAAAAAATGGTCACACTTATCTGTACTTCAGGACATAACCCCAGTAAGAGCCAAGAGAAATCAGACATCCCCATGTCTTCTTGCATCACTGCACTATCATAAACTACAAACCCTTCAAAAGTCTGCTATATCAAACTACACTAAAGTCTATTCCAATTTATGCTGATTCTTTCCAGGGTTTTCTAGATACAGAGTACTCAAATGTAGTTTAGCATTCCCTACTGGCACAAATTAATGAGATATCTGTCAGTAAAGGGGAAAAACCCATATGCCAGACTAAATAAAAGGAACAGAAAGTCATTGAAAAAGGCTGAGTATGATGGGAGAAGCAAAATGTTGTTTGGTTATTACAAAATGAAGCAAAAGGATTAACACTGGACCCACAGCTTCATGCAGGCCAAATGTCAGTGCAGATGAGCCCTCACTTCTTGATCAGAGAATCTCAGGTTTCCAACTAGCCAGCTATGCTTTCATCAAAGATGTTTTATTCCCCTACCTAACTTTCTGCATATTTTCTCTTTCTATTTTCTGATATTCAGCATTCTAAGATAACTGAGCATGGTCAATCATTACTAGCTCCTCAAGTTTTGGACCATTATATGAGGATTCTAATTATGATTTTTTTTTCACTTTTGCAGACTTTTGTCATTTCCCATGTGTGAGAGGACTCATTCTGGTTTCTCAGTGTCCCTCCTTTGCTGCTGCTGCTGTACACAGTCCTATCAGTGTTTATCACAGATGTTCACTGCTAGGAGTAATAGTCTTGCAGTAATGTGAAAAGAACAACAACGAAAATCTAACCCTGCCTCACCTAAAGAGGCACTGCCTTCAGGTAATGAGCAGGTCAGGAAAGGATTTTAGCATAGCTTTCTATGGAATGTCAGTTTCCCAGCAATGTGATTTAGAAGTTCTAATGCTGTGAAACTGATTCCCACATTACAAAAGCATTTGTGGAAACCATATCATTGATAAGGTGCTCAGTAGATTAGCATTAATTTATTACACAGTGTTTTGTATACAGAAATGTTTTCCTCTGACATTTGGTATGCCATTTGTGCAATCCTTCCATCTACATGACAGATGCACCTATCTGGCCCTCCTCCTTAAGAAAAGAAAATCTACCTCCTTACCCCTTCCTGTCTACTTCTGGGAGGGAGCTTTCCTTTTTAAAAAAATTTTCCTAAAAGGCAGAGCACACAAGTGATGCCCTAATAGGCTTTAAAAACAACAACTTTGCTTTCCTTCCATGGAGGAGCAGAAGTTTCTAATTTCCCAATATCATTAAGCGACTAAGCTTAACAATATTGGAGAACTGAAGCTGGATGTGGAAAAAAGCAGGAAGCTTCAATTCAGACATAGTGGAAACAAATCCAAATGGAGCAATGCTTCCTGCATCTAAAAAAAGAGTAGCCCTTAACAGCCAGCCAGAAAGGTATGGGAATGCTCTGGGGATGGGCTAGTTCATGCTGTAGTAACTGGCAAAAGGAGCAAATCATCCCATCCCTACAGCAGAACAGTCATGTATTCATCCCGAGATGACACCCAGGAAGAAAGTCCAAATACGCAGAAGTCCAAATGTGGCCTTTTCCTTTTCTAACTAGTACACAATATTTGAACTTCTTAACACATTGAATGAACTTATGTAATGATAACTGCTCTGTTTATACTCCATGCAAACTTTTGCAATAATTGGAAGTCTTTTATGTAGAGACAGATAGCAATTTTTGCAGACAAAAGAAATTGCACATCCTACTTGTGGAGATCCACCAGATGTTCAAGCAAATTAAGATTTTGCTTTCCAGGTGTATTAAGCAGAAGTTGTTGTCAATAGCAAATAAATGATAATTTATTCCATGGGTTATATTGTTCTTCAAATGATGCTTACCCTATTTTAAAAATAAAATATCACCAAGAATAAATTTCCATTAGTATCAGATTTCTGCAGGGTGCAAAAGATTTAAAAGGCAGAACACGATCTGCCCCTATAATAGGCTAAATATATGACTTGAAAACCACAGAAAGAAGCAGAGTTGAATAATAAGCTGGCATAGCTGCATTTCTGAAAATAGATGTATCTGAAATAGTGCCTACTAATCATTGCAGAATATGCTGCAAAAATACAAAAGATAAGAATCAGGTTAATTTACAAAAGAAAAAAGTAGTATTTAATAAAAAAAATAAGGAAATGGTTTAATGTTACTGTGGCTTTGGCCTGCTGAGTAAACTATTGATATTCTTTATCCCTGCATGGTAAAGACCATTTGTAAGTAAATTGGGGAAGGAGAAATAGGTGGAATACAGGTCCATTATATCAGGAGGCTAAAGGGTTGTAAGGTGCATTGGATCTAAATTAGTCACTCCATGACACAGAACAATTAGTAGCAATATTATTTGTGATAACATTAAAGCACTATCAGCCTATTTATTTGTGAGTTTTATCACCAGAATGCATCCAATATTTTACTATACTGTACTGTATAGTGGCACACTCTACGGTATCGCTGTGCCTTAACTGAGACCAGGTCTACACTTAGGTTGGTTGAGGGAGAGATCTCAGGCTGCAATGTGTGGGCTGTATAATTCAGCATCTCTAAAGCTAGCCTCCAGGTGCAATGGAGGATGCTGACCTGTTGCCCATGTTGAAATAACATTCAGTAGCCAGTCTGGTCACCTCTTGCACATGAATTCTCATGGACTGTGAAAGATGCCATCTCATCCATCAACTCACAATGCAGGATCTGTAGGGCACACATTGGATGCAACAGTAACTTGCTATCTGTATTGATACAGCAGAGTCCCTCGTATCATTTGAAGCATAAAATGCAACACAAAACAAGGGAAAATTAACATTCAAAACAAATTACTTCCGAAGAAATGCACCCATGTCCAATGGTTCAGTCAGATGACTAAACACTTGCCTAGGAAGCCAGCCCCTCTACCTACCACACACAAAGGAACATCTGTGTAGAAATATCTGTGAGAGATGTTCACAGTACATAATTTTGAACTGTGTGATTTACTACTGGTTGTGCTGCTTTCTTGAGATGGGATGCATATGTCTGATGGCTGGCAGTAGGATGATGGTCTGAGGTGCTCACTTGAAGTACCAAAACTGATAAAACTGTCATATGCAATGCCTCAGAGGAAGCCACCAAAGGAGAATCAATTTGTCCGGCACCTATCTATGGATCTTATCCTTAGAGGTGAAAGACAGTACAAAAAGGTTATTGGGTCCATAGCTGAGACTTTGACCTTCAGGTGAGTTTCAAGCAGCCCTAGTATTCTCATCCCATCCAGAATCAGTAACTATTTCTTTCAGGCAATTGCCCTTTGCTAGATAAACAGTGTACTTATATGCTGGTATATTTAGCTGCCGTTGCTGCTATGGTTTCTTTTGAGTCAACTACTTTTTTCAGGTAGGCCTCCAAGTTCTTGGCATTGTCTGTGACATTGACATATCGCTTCACACCAACAAACCACTTGGTCTCCCTTGACAGCTTTCCCTCAGTCTAACTCTGTGTATAATCCTGATTGCGTTGGTACTCCACCTTGCAGATCCTGATCACACTGCCTATATATAGGATTTCCTCTTGTGGCATGCCAAGCCAAGACAAAGAGAGGGACCAGGAAAGCAGGCAAAGCCGTTGATCCTTCTTCCCACCTTGCCAAAGCTAGCAGCAGCAGCCTGCTATTTACATAGCTCCTGCGAGGTTTATTCTTACAAATCTACCTCCGCAAGAGGACATGCCAAGAGAGGAGGAGGGGGGAAGGTGGAAAGCTGCCTCTGATGGAATCACAATCGAAAACACCACTTTGGGCTGTAAATCAGCCACGTGGAGCCTTTGCTTCTGGAGGTGACTTCCTGCTTCGTTTTGAGCAAGCTGCCCTTAAAGATTAGCAAGGAAAGGAGAGCAAGACATATACAGACAGACAGACAGACAGACAGAGACCACGAGTGACAGGGAAGGGGCAAAACAAGAGAGTCAAGGGAGAGCGGCAGCCCGA